ATTATTCTACAAAACATTTGAGACACTCGTAATATTCTCTAAAAAAAAGCAAATTACTTCATTTTAAGTTATATACTCTCACTAAATATTTGTTTCGTGTGCAAAATTTAGGACAATTTAAATTTAAAGGTCGTTTTTTGATTCAATATTTATTTTAAGAATCGTGATTGATGATAAAAATTATTAATAGCAAAGCCTCTTATTTCTTTCAATTCTGTCACGGCGGGGAAAATTTAAAGCAATCTTAATGCTTGCAAGTACTTTTCAATTTTTACTTTTTGTCTGCATAAATCAAAGGCGGGGATATTTTCAAAAGAAATGAAAGCCTTTCCGTTCTTGCAAAAATATGCTTTTAGTTAAAATGGAAGTAATAAATAAAAAAAAAAGCTTAAAAGAAGCTTTCAAACGATAGAAGAATAGTTCTCTATTTCCTTTTCAATAATGAAGACATCTTCTTCTACTTTATTACCCGATTCCTGTCCCACTTCACTTCAATTCACGGTAAAGAAAACTCTGTTCCACAAATTATCGAATCTTACTCCACAAAGTTCCCTTTCTTCTTATTTTAACATCCATTTTTTATTACCAAAGAGTGGCAACGGAATCGATATTCATTTAGAGCGACATCTCGTGAGGGAAAGGAAGGTAAGGAAGAAAAGAAAATAATTACGAATCAGTTTTAACGTTGCCACAGCAACAAGTACAAAAGAGAGAAAAGTGTCGAACGAATTATTAGCAATGCTATTTGCAATTTCGGGAAGACACACTTCAAATGTTCTTTTTCTTTAATCATTCCTGCGATGAAAATTACTCTCAAATTCTTGACAGTTACTTGGTTTATTTTTTGAAAAAGAAGTATGTTCTAATAAGCGACATCTATAACGTATGCATTTGTGAGATTTTCCTCTCTGAGTTATTCCTGGATCGCTTAATTACTTTGCTACGTTGTATTTTTAATTTATTCTCGCTAAAACGTCAAAAGATAAATTATATTAGCATTAATTATTCTCTGAAATATGATCAATATATACTCCGTTATTAAAAATCTGTTCTGCAGTTCAGTATTTAACAATTAAAAAAAAAACTTTGACATGGTTTTAGGAGTTAAGCATCATTACTTGCATCAAATTTACTTAAAGTTAAAGATATAAAGGAGTTCTTAAAAAGAATGAACCTCAATTAAGATTAAGCTTTTATAGAACCTTAATTAAGCTTTTTGATAAAGTATTCAAAGAGTTTACTTTGTGTCTATTTTTCTATTTATAATGTGCTTGTGTTATTTATTTCATTACTAATTATAAATTTATAAATTAAAACTTTTTGAACAACAAGGAAATTACTTCTAAATAGTAGCTGTTTCTGCTTTCCTAATAAGGAGACTTAATTTCTATAATATTTCCATTAAACAATAAAAATAGCAATAATTAATTTTTAAGCATATTGGTTAAATGAAGACAAAAATTTAGATTGTTTAATAAAATAGAAGGCTCCGCCTCTCTCATTTAGCAAAACATATTTTTTTAAGGAAGTAGAATTTAGTTTATTATGGTTTGCATAGGCATCAATAAGAATTCTTGTAGTTTTATTTCATAATGCTAGTAAAATTTAGAAAGTAATATAATATCAAGAATTTGCATGTGTTTGCATATAATTTCAAGAACTATAAGCGAACACACCGGTAATTATTTAAACAAAGTAGGCAAACTGCTCATTACGTTTCACTAATAACAGATAATTATTGTATTCCTTATGATTCCCATTATTTACAATATTCGCCGATCATTTTACATTATATAACCGATCACAAGTGTATTACTTTGTTAACAGGTTTCAGAGTACATTTTATACAATTTCCACGTAAAATGTTTTAAAATAAATACATTCAAAATTAATGGTAAAAATATAAGCTTCTATGAAAATCCGATAATTAAATCAAAAGTCTTTTTGTAAATTAGTTTAGAGTTGAAGAGTTTTCATTTCATCATGTAATGAATAAACGCACTATTTTAAATACCCTTTTTTTTGTATGCTTCAATAATTGCATACAAAACAATACAATCACACATAAATAAAGTTGAGATAGAAATAAATGTATTTATTATTTATTGAACTTTTAGCATATGAAAAATTATGGTTTATTTCAATATAAAATACGTTGTCTACTGAAATACTCCGTATAAGAAATTATTTATGAACTTAGCTTGAATATTAAGAGGAAAAATGAATGCAACATCTAACAAATGGAGCAGTAAATGGTTCGGAAAAATTTATATGTGGCATTTATTTCTGTAGTTGCTGCACTGCAAACACCCAGATTACATTTTTTTGTAGGCCTGACATTTGCAAAACTTTTATAGGTAATAAAATAACTTTTTTATGATTTAGCATACATTTAGAGTTGATCTTTCTAAAAATGAATTTAAGAAAAAGGACTGAAATATAAAAATTTCATCATCTCAAATTAAATCAAATCTGAATTAAAATCAAATATTTGTTCTTTCCTTTTTTTTCTAGTGCTAATGCACTAGAATTTGCACTAAATACAAATGCACTAAAATACAAATTTGAGAGAAAGAGAAGAATTAGGATATTTATGGTAAATTTTTTAATGAAGCGTTCTTTTTGCATACTAATATAACATATGTTTTTCCCCAAGTTCAAACTCTTACCATAAAAATGATTTCTGCAGAAAAAGAAATCAGTTTCGAATAAAATATTGAAATAAGTTTAAAAATGCAGGCACCTTTTGATGTACTATAGGAATAAAAACAGATTAAGTGCGTTTCGTGCTAAAGTCTTGGAAAAGGGTATCCATTATTATCGCATTTTACTGATTATTTATCGAGTTCATTTGCCAATGGAACCCTCAATTGTGCAATATGGAGTAAATAAATTTTGATGGAGTAAATAAATTTTACGAATCATCGAGCTCATTTGCTGTTAGAATCAACAGTTTGTGCAATGTGAAGTAAATAAATCTTGGAGTGGTGTAAAAAAGAGAATATGCATTATTGTCACATTATACGGATCATCGAGTTCCTGTACCATTGGAGCAGTCAGTTTGTGCAATCTGAAGTAAATAAATCAAGAAATGGCGGGGGGGNGGGGGGGGGGGGGGGAATATGTATTATTTCCCCATTTTACGTATCATCGATGTCATTTGCCATTGGAACCAGCAGTTTATGCGACATGGAATAAATAAATCTTGAAATGACGCTGGAGAAGGAATTTGCATTACTGACGCATTTTACTGATTCTTAAACTCAATTGCTATTGGAATCTGTAGTTTATGTGACATGGAATAAATAAATCTCGCAGTGACGTTGGAGGAGGAAAATGTACATTATTGCTCCATTTTACCGAACATCAATACCATTTGCCATAAGAACCCGTAGCTAGTGCAATGTGGAGAAACTAAATCTTGGAGTTGTGTTGAAGATGGAATATGCATTATTGCTCCATTGTACGGATCGTCAAGGTCTTTTGCCATTGGAACCTGCAGTTTGTGCAATATGGAGTAAATAAATCTTAAAAGGGCGTTGAAGATGGAATATGCATTATTTCCCCATTGCAAGGATCATCCAGGTCATTTGCCAGATGAACCCACAGTCTATGCGACATAGAATAAATATATCTTGAAGTGGCGTTGGAGAAGGAATTAGCTTTACTACCGCGTTTTACTGATTATCAAACTCAATTGCCATAAGAACCAGCAGTTAGTGCAACATGTTAACCATACTTCATATGCATCGATCCACATGCCATTGTAGTTTCAAGTTTCTAAGACGTTCAATGTTTGCGTATCAAAACAAATGGTAAGGTAAAATAGAACTCACAAAATCAGCAGAGCCTACGCTCTTTTAATATAGAAAGACATTAAATTTAACAAGAAAAAAATTGAACAAAATCGGTTCCAAAATTTTACAAACATCTTAGACAAAATAACAACTAAAACCGTTTTGTTAGGTTATCAATTTTTGGTGCATTCCAACTTGGTCTAGCAATTTGGTTCACCAAATAAGCTTAATTATTCATGGAGTTTTCTTAAAACTCATTTCATATTTGCGGCAGTTTGAATAAGAAAGAAAGACTTCTTAGATAAAGTAGCTGTTATAAATTGCACCAAATATAACACGGAAATTGTAAGACATTATTATTCCAGTTTAACTGTCTAGTTCGTGAAACGAAAACAAATGCAACGATGATGGAATTAATTCATCTATAATTTATTTAATTGATGATTCTGAGTTTCTTTCGTTAGCAGAGATATGGAATATTTAAACCTAGTTAACCTTTATTTATAATGGACGCATTCCAGAATTAGTCTGATCACGCCAAAGTCCTGCTTCCTAGTACTTACGAAAAAATATATACAGTGGCTTGCTAGAGGTGGCTGCAAATTTTTTTTTTAATTTTTGCTTTTTATTATTTATTTATTTTTTAGTTTTGTTCAGTTGAGTTTAGTTTTTAACTTGCCCGGTTATCTTCAAAACAAACTTGGCGACCATTTTGGCGTAGAATACGATAAATATTTTTATCTGCTACTCTGCCCAGTGAAAAATTCTTGATTTTGATTAATATTGAACATATACATGCAAGTTCCTTGTTTTGATTAATTATGTTTAGTTACTAAAAATACTGTTTTACGTGGTGCACAATGGCACAAAATTAATCCGCCGACCATTATTGCCTACATTTTGCTAAGTCACATTAGTATCTTCCAAATTTATTTTCACATAGTAATTGATTATAAAGAAATAGACAAAATACAAATCTAAATTATTGCCTGCAAAGAATTAGAAAGTACTTAAATTTAAACCACATCCAAATTTATTTTCGGATTTAGCGAATATTGTCGACGTGATAATACACAAATACCTGCGTTAAATACATTTAAAAAGGAAATATTAATTATTAGTAGTAGTTGAAAAAGTAATGAAAACCATGTAGCAGCAATAAAATAATGTTTATTTATCATAATGCAATAACTTAAAAACTAATTAAATTCTACACAGTTTTCAAGATCTTATATTTGCTTTTTGAGTAAAGGCAAGGTAACATAGGATCATACTTATTACAACAACAATAGATTTCGAAGATATCATGGACTCATTATAAATACCACTATAATAAAATGAAAGTAAAAATGCAGGTGGAATATTTGACGTATCCTTATTGTAAAGGTGAGCTTTTCTTAAAGCTGCATATCCTTTTTCATCGTAAACTTTTATGTAATGCTCACCACTAAATATCTGTTCTCCTCTTTCAGTCCAACTTAATTGATACTTAGAATTATCAGAAGATTTTACAGCTGCGATTAATTTCCCAGATTTTTCAACATAAAGAGCAAGTTCGTGTACAAATGGCGTACAAGAAATCGCAATTTCATTTACAACAACTACCTCCGAAGCTATTATTCCATCATTAGTTATGTAAGTCTTTGTGTCAATTGTTGGATTTTCACAGATTTCAGCTAACGCATTGTGCAAAATTTGAAGATAAAAGAGATGTAATATCAATAGTACCATTTCAAATTCAATTTAAGGAATAAAATTTTACAAAAAAGCAAAACAAAGAAGCTATTTTAAAACTATCGTTTTAGTTGAATACGATATAAAAGATAACAGGATCAAAATCACGCCGTCAACAAAATAAATAGCACCAAAGAACATTCCATACACATCAAGAGTTGCCATGAGAGAAATGGTAAAATCAATTGCAAAATTAGCTTTTAGCTTTCCTTGACCCGAAAAATATATGCTTTAAAGTAAAGCAGTGAGAACGAAACACAAGTTCGAATGAATGAGCAGACATTATAAAAATGAAAAGATAGCGAAAAGGAATATGTGATGAATCACGAATATGTGTAACATGAGTTACTTTCATTTAATTTTAATCAATAATTTAAATTATCAGATTGTTTTTCCTTAGTCTAACGTATTCCTAAAAACTAATGCATTTAATGAATGCAACTATATAATAAAAATTTTTTAATGTATTTATTGAATTATAAAAAGCATTGAGCTAATGAATGACAGTTATTGAATGTAACTACTTCTAAAGTCTGACTCAGTATATTAAATTATATATAAATATAATAATATCAGTATATTGCCGTTTTGAACAAATTTTATATGATAAGTTTATGAAACAAGCCTGGATAATTTGAAGCACATTATTCAAAGAAAAGAATTTTTTTTTAACAAAATAAAGTCTGCATTTTCGAAATCAATGATTTGAAATTGTTTATTGATGCATAGGAACTAGAACTGAATTAATTACTCTACCAATAATTCTGAGTTTATTTTATTACGTGTGATTTCAGGGTTATCCCACGCATTATGAAAAATTCAATTTAATAATTCAATGCCTAATATTTTTGTTACTAACGCTCACAATAATAATCGTATTCAATAGTCATCGTTATGTATGATATTCACTCTATTTTCTTATCAATATCTATTATTTATTAAAAATCACGGGAATATGGTGGTCAATTATTATAATAATCAATAAACGTGATATTATCGCCTTATATATGTGCACTGTTATCATTAATATAAAGCAATATACATGTATGTGTATATTATCGGTTAGCTGGTGACCTGTTTGAACTAAAATCTGGTATTGTTCCTATGTGTTGACGAACTTTGCATCAAATTTGCTTTAAGTCAAAATTTTAAAGAAATGCATGAAAATATAGCAGTCTATCTATTTTTTTTCCTGTTTACTATCAGAAATATGTTTTATTTGAATTTCAAATAACTTAAATATTTTTATTGCAGAATAGCTATTCTATTAATAACCTTTTCTACCAATAGCCACCTTATTCTATTAATAATAATAATATTTTGATGTTAAAGCTAGAAAAGGGAAATAATTTGCAAATAAGCGTTTTAAATTTTTTTTATCGAAATAATTTTTAATATTACATCACAAAATAAATACTCTTTTTGGAAAATAAGTTTTTCCACATCAATAATTCATAAATTCTTAAAAATTTGAGAATTTTTTTTTTTCATAAAAAAACAAATTCCGAAGCAGAGCCATCTTTAAGTTTTGCGAGCCCTGAGCAAGGCATTTTGTAGGACCCTTTTGTTTACGTACTTATTTATATATTTATTTATATAATTTATTTATATTTATTTATTTATTTATATATTTATTTATATATTTATTTATATATTATTTATTTATTTATTCATTAATTTAGCTGGTTCCCTTGTTTAACGTTCCATTTTTGACTAAGTAATTGAAATAAATAGGTTTATTTTAGGATATTTCTTTCCTGATTAATTTTTAGCAACGAACAACTTAATATTTTTACAAAAAAAAATTTTATTTATATAATATTTTGCAATTTATAATTATTTTTCAAGCATCGCTTAAATAATCAACTAAAACTGTTTCAGTTTATTTAATTTTCTAATTCAATGGTTTTGATTTTTATGAGTAATTTTTTTGAGTGGGGCTCCTAGGACTGGGAAGATCATTGAGTTTTAGGACTCAAATTTGATCAAATTTGACAGATAATTTATCCATGTGTTTCAATTCAGTTAGAACACACGTTTTCCATTTTTTAGTACTGAAAGCCACAGTAATCTAAATTTTTCTAAAATTAAAAAAATAATATAGCTGCCATGGAGTGCTCTAGAGTCCTTATAATGCGGGGTCTAGAACAAATGTACCTTTTGTTCCACTTTTACAACGACCTGTCAAGAGGCCTTTGCATAAAAATACTAAAATATAAAGAAGAAAAAAAGAACCTTTAATCTTATTACTTTAATTATCACCTGTAGATGGCAGCATTATTTTTATTCAGTTATGACAAATTTAATCAAAGTAATACGAAACAAGATATAAATGTATGTGGCCAACTTTACCTTAACTATACTAAGCATTCAAACTGAAATATACCTGCATAACTTGTTTAATGAATTTAACAAAATTAGTTTTCCAAAATAACAATTAAAAAAGTTAAAAATAAATCTGCTGTTTTAATAGCTTTCCTTCTAAGGAAAGAGATGGCAGCACTATTGAAAATTAATAATATTAAAAACTCAAGTCCTTTACTGATTATAATGTTGTTGTAACTGATTATAATTATTTTAATAAACAACTTTAACCTCATAAAATCTTAAGAATTATACAAATAATTTATCTTGTTAACAATGTATTAAATATATAGTTGACAGCTTATTATTGACGATATATCTTGATATTAAGCTAACTGAATAATAAGACTTGGACAAAGCTTTTCTGAAAGTAAGAAATTAATAAGATCTCAAAATCGAAATAATCAATACTTTTAGTTATAACTTTGACAACACTTCACGGAATACAATAAAATCTGTATAATAAAATTATAAAACTTTTATACATTATTCTAAAAGTGAAATTTATTATTTTTTTTATTTCAAACTATAAAAATCTTTTTTTTGAAGAAAAAAAAACTTAATTATAGAAAATGTGCGTAATTACAAAAATATAGTCTTGGCAACACTTATTCAGTGATAAAATTTGTCGAACATTTGTTGATCGGGAGATAACGATGCATTATAAACAATGAGAGAGACATCGACATAATTTTAACTCTTCCAGAAATTACATCTAAAATATTGTATACAATTAATTGTATATTTGCTGATTTACAGGTCACCTTACCGCAGTGTTCCCCAATCCCCGGTCCGCGGACCGGTACTGGTCCGTGGATCAAATGGTACCGGGCCGCCCATTTCATCGAAACTGAATTTATACCCCAAATTAAAAATATCTGTGTTCCATTAAAATTTTATTTGTTTAAAAAAAGGGGGGGGCCGAAGTTAGAGACATAAATTTTTGTTATGTATTATTGTCTCCGATTACCCCCAGATGGAGCCGTCTCATTGCAAAGAAGCAAGCGTAGGGTTCCCATTGATTTAACGTTCTAGTAAGTTAAAATGCCAAATCACTTTATATTTATTTTTTGGTGGAAATGTATGTTGTTTTGAAGGCATGTTTAAATACAATTAAATTAAAATTAATAAATCAAAATGANCACTTCACCAAATACAATAAAATCTGTATAATAAAATTATAAAACTTTTATACATTATTCTAAAAGTGAAATTTATTTTTTTTTTATTTCAAACTATAAAAATCATTTTTTTTGAAGAAAAAAAAACTTAATTAAGTATCATGTCCCGAAAGAACAATGTGAAATATTTTAAACTTGAAAAAATTTTGTAGACTTAATAATTCGTAATGATTTTTAATTTTATAAATTTTTACATTTGATTTTTTGAGCGTACGATTTATACACCCGAGATGTCAAGATAAACCAAGATTTCGTAATAAAATCTCGTAATGAAAAATAGCTGGTCGACTTATATACCTGACATACCAGAAATTTGTTATCTCGTAATCAAATATATCAAGTTGACTTATATTCCGGGACATACGATAATCAAACTTCTTAACTACATAAATAAAACAGCTTTAACTTCCCATAACAAATCTGGGGTTAATGAATTGGAGATTGATCTTTCTCTGGTTCAGGTCAAAATTACGATCTGCTGACGAATGAATGGATGTATGAATGGGTTCGCCCTATAAACGGGTGTGACGTATGGGTGTGGCCGAAGTCACATTCTTCGCCATAGATGGCGCCACTGGAAAACAAGAGCAATCGCACCCTATCTGCCTTAATAGCTGACGACAACAACAACAACAGATTTAATTTTTTTTTAAAATTAACTTAAAAATAATCAACTTTCAACCATAATAACCTAAGTTTGGCAAATAACATAGACCTGCGAAAATTTATTTAATTTTGAGGACAGATTTTTACGTTGTTTTTATTGCTGATTCTAAATATGATATCTCTATCAGGCAAGTTTATTTTGAAGGCAGTGGTAGAAATATGAAGTTTTGATATTTTAATTTTCACATGAATTAAATTCATATATTTGTACAAATTACATTTACTCCATAGTTTAAATAATTAATTTACTAATAGTAAAAATTTACTTGACCTTTTTTTTTACCTCGGTAGTAATTTTGCCTCTATCGAGTTTTAAAAATAGTCAGATACCTAAAATTTAATTTCTCAGTTCAAATTTTGCATCTTGCCATGTAAAATTTTTGAAAAAAATTGTAAGGTCATCATTTGACCTTACTAATCAAAACTTTCGTTCATTATTAAATAAAATAATAATAAACAATTATCAAAAATTATTTTTTGTATAGGATTATCTTAGGATAATTGAATATTATAGAATGAGCAAAAAGCTTTTCGATTCACTTAAAAAGTTCTCAAGATGTAGTAAAATAAGCAACAACAAAAAAAAATAATTAAAGGGTCCAAACTTTCAACCGCTTTCTTGACCAAACAATTGGGACCACATTTCCCAAATTGCTGCAATACTCTACATTTTGGAGATCAAAAATCATAACCCGTCGAATAAAGTTAAGTTTATTCAGAGAAAATACGTTTTTGTGTCTGATTTCGTAACTTAAAGTATCGTCTGCACTAACTAATTAGCATCTTTGAGGTTATCCCCCTCGAACCATAAAGACTGAGTCCTAGAACGTTCCGTTCATTAGATCAAAAATGATTCAAGGTAATTTTTTTTTTAACCGCACTGTCGTATTTACTGTCACAATGAAATTACATTTTTAAGTACT